GCAGACAAGTGCAGACCGAAAGGTCCCAAGACTTTAATTTGGATTTGGTCGTCTCCGTCAGTTTATCCCTCTTGGTGTCATAAATAAATGGGTTTAGAGTCAACTAACAATGGCAAATAAACGGTAAGGGGCCATAGCACATCCACTTTTCTTGTCCGTCGAACATTTATAGTAGGTAGTTCTCGTTTGTATGCGCCTGAACGAGAAAAATCTATTTTAGAAAACCAGATCAAATCAGACGGCCTCCATATCATCCTGCCTCCAGAGAGGGTTTGGGAATACTCTCTTTCTGTGACGTAGAATGCTCCTCGGTAAAGCTAGTGAAACCGTCTGTCTGTGGCTCAATTTTCGATGAAATAGACAAAATACCAATTGAAATGCTTTCATATTTCAGGCATTTTAGGCCTTGGAATAATTTTTGGCTGTCCCACCGCAGAACGTTTCTAGACTAATCTCTTTCTGTAACTATATGTACATAAAGGAGTTCTAAAATATGCTAATACTGATAAAGACAACATCTTTTAATAGTTTCTCCTAATTAAGAGGCTTCTAGAGCCATAAGATGATGTACTAAAGAGTAGCTAGTTCTCGAATTCTTCTACCACCTCTTCCTTTTTTATGTTGAAAACATTCGAATTCGTCGAATATAATGGGACACCTCCGACAAGAACAAGTTCAGCGGGGTGATTTCACTCTTACGTGGGTAGCACCTGAAAGCTGAGCGTTCCACTAAGAATTCCTTTTGGCGCCACTGCGATCGAAAAGACGCCGTTAAAAATGGCGTGAGATGTTGGTTGTCAGTTTGCTTTAAAGGCTTTTTGCAGTTAATCCCGCAAAACTTCACGGAAGGTTAATCAACTGTGGGAGATCTTTCAGGCAGCACCGTGACTACTCTAAATCGCCTACTTTTGAGAGCCATGGTGCAGCCTCTTGTACTTCTTCTGGATTTCGTGTTTGCGTTGATTGGATTTCTACATTGCATTTCCCATTTTTTCCTCGCCGTTGATGTTTTGCGTCCCTTTTCGAACGAACCGTCAGGAGAAAGCACCGCTTACTGGCTCTGAGAAAAGTCGGTGATTAGTTTTGCCCCGGGCGTGATTACGGTCTACCGGAATATGCAGCTCCTTGCACAGAGCATAGAGTGCCTGATTGGATATGAATTGAATGTGTAATGAAACCCCTTCACCCAAAAGAACACTCCACAGACTAGACAGAGTCTTCCGCAAGGGCACTTATAGTAAATGTAAACCATACTTCGGCTAATGTCTTATGAATGTACATTTTTATGACATTATATTTAATCGACCTCTTTTAAAATGCCTTCCTCCGCTTGACCCTAGTTCACATCGGTGTGAAAATTACCCTTGCTTATAAGCTGTTGCACTTATCTTCGGGCTGGATACAGCGAATCACTGCAGTCGATCGAGCATTCCCGTTTTTGAGCAGTTAAACAGTTTAAAAACTGTTACGCCTCTGTTTTCCACTGCCCTTGACTGGACTGCACTCACA